CTCATCACTATCTGAATGCCGACTCAGCACAAAATAAATGCTGACTCAGCACAAAATAAATGCTGACTCAGCACAAAATAAATGCTGACTCAGTTCAGTCTGAATGCAGACTCAGCACATTCTGAATGCTGACAGTAATGTCTGAACAGTAATTCAGCACAGTCTGAATGCTGAGTCAGCACAGTAGGATTTCTAACTCAGTGCTGTCTGAATGCTGACTCAGCACAGTCTGAATGCTGACTGAGTACAGTATGTTACTAACTCAGTACAGTATGATTGCTGACTCAGTAAATTATGAATGCTGATTCAGCAAAAAATGCTGACTAAGCACATTCTGAATGCTGACTCAGCAGAAAATAAAAGCGGACTCAGTACAAATTAAAAGCTGACTAAGCACATCATGATTGCTGACATAGTTCAGACTCTGTGTTGACTCACCCCATTTTGTATGCTGACTCATCACTATCTGAATGCCAACTCAGCACACAATATATGCTGACTCAGCACAAAATAAATGCTGACTCAGCACAAAATAAATGCTGATTCAGTTCAATCTGAATGCAGGCTCAGCACATTCTGAATGCTGACAGTAAGGTCTGAATAGTAATTCAGCACAGTCTGAATGCTGAGTCAGCACAGTGGGATTTCTAACTCAGTACAGTCTGAATGCTGACTCAGCACAGTCTGAATGCTGACTGAGTACAGTATGTTACTAACTAAGTACAGTATGATTTCTGACTCAGTAAATTATGAATGCTGATTCAGAACAGTCTGAATAGGAATCAGTACAGTCTGGATGCTGACTGAGCACAGTCTGAATGCTGACGCAGTACAGCATGATCAATGACTCAGCACAAAATTAATGCTGCCTTAGTACATTCTGAATGCTGACTCAGCAAAAAAATGTTGACTCAGCACATCCTGATTGCCGACTAAGTACAGACTCTATGCTGATTCAGCCGATTTTGAATGCTGACTCATCACTATCTGAATGCCGACTCAGCACAAAATTAATGCTGACTGAGCACAAA